GGAGTCAGGTTAGGCTACACTATCCAGGTCAGGGTAAATTCTTCTCAAGCACCTGAGCCAAGTATCTAAGAGCCTAGTCAAGATTGCGCCAGGATGTAGTGGGAGAAGGATAGACAGAGTGGAGAAGAGCAACTTAACTCTGAGCTTATTCTTACCAATAGGTGGAAGCCTGTGTCATCTTCCAAAGTTTAGAGAAGAGTCACTACTTCTCACCATAAAAGGAGTGTGTTAAAGTGGTTCAGCTACAACATTGCCTCCTTTTGGAGGTTTTCCATTTATGTTTGAGTAAAACTTCAGAGCAATTATATCTCACTCCTACTCATAGAATAATTGGATTTCCTTTAAAGCAGCAACTTCTTGCAAGCAGGTGGCTGAATTTACTGTATCTAAGGACACACGGATAGACCAGGATGCTAAGAAAGAAATTTTACAGGATAGGGTGATCTTTAAAGATAATTCAAGCACATATCTAGATAACTTTTGTTGATTTTTTAAAGTTTCATTCATTTCATATTTAAAACTCTAAAAATCATTCAATCTGCATGCTGTATTTGTATCAATGGTTTCATGTATCAGAAGGACTCACCTCACTTTGATGCTGATCTGGTAGGATTTTTCTACATCAGCTGGTGGCTTTTCTGGTGTTGGGCGGGAAAAATAATAATACAGTATTTTCATATAAGGTTTTAAAGCATTATTTTCTTTATTAACACTCTACCATATGATAAAATGTTTTTGTGTTTATAAAGCCTTAATATGCATAGACATTTCACAGATGTTTGATCCTTGTGTTTCTTTCAAGCAAAGCATTCCTCAAAGTTACATCATGGCATATTTCCCTAATATTCTTGACTTGGATTTATGATTCCTCATAATTACTTGTATCACAGCTGCAGTCACTTATTATTATGAGTTTAATATAATACAAAGTTTAAAGTATTTGATTATTTTTGGCTCAAATCACTTTATACTTTATACAAAGTATAAAGTATTTTAATATTTTTGTCTTAAATTAATGAAAATATTTATTCTAAATGGTTATTGAGTCAGATGTGTCACAGGTAATGTTTGGTTTACAGAAAGGATTTATCCTTCCCTGTGAAAATGGGTTTGGCTGACATCTAAGCACAGATTCCAATATTTTTGCAGTTTAAGGATTACAAATCTGATATCTACGATGACATTACTGCTGCCGGAGCTCCTAAAAAATGTTGGCGGTGAGATGGTGGTGGTCAGATGGCCCAATGGTGTCTGGATTTAGCTTTCCACCATCAGTGTGTGAATGTCAGTGTAAAAGTGGGAAGGACTAAATGTAGTCCTTTGGAGTCTCTCTAAAAGAAGCTTTATAACTACAGCTATTAACAGACTTGCCAAATCTCCCGATTTACGAGAATTTCCCCTGAATTTGAACGTGTTCTTCTGCTGAGTTCCCAATCAGTAATTTTGAAAGTGAGCTCGAAAAATAGTAAGCTTGTGGAGATATAACATTCTGTATAACCCCCACAAGCTTAATTTTCTTTTCACTCATGGATGTATCTCTGTTGTTATCAAATTAAACTATTTGTTTCTGAAGTTACAATTTTGAATTGTTTTGTTTTGTTTTTTTTTTAATTGCATCTTTCTTCATGGATAAAACCTTTTGATTGTGGCAGCCAGTTAAAGTGTTCTGCTATACTGCATAATGAATGCATTGCAGTATAACTTCCTAATTAGTCTTTATTAGTCCTTATTAGCCTTCTGGTAATTATTTAAAATATATTTAAAAATAACTAGTTAAATTGCAGGGAAAAGTTTTTAATTTTCAGAATAAGGTATCTTCATCAATTTTATTAAAAACATTAAACCTTAAATTAAATTAAAAAAAAAAGCAGTAGTCTGAATATAGGAGTATTTATATGCTGAATATATATTTTAAAGTCTGAATGTGTGAGATGGTGTGTTCAGTTAC